TTATTCTGTCTTTATTGTGCCAAAACATCATGTCTTTCTTGTCTACAATTGTTGTTATCCTGTCCTAAAAATATACTTATTATGTGAAATACTAATGTTGACTTGCCCCAAAAAATTTTGTTTGTTTGTGTAAACGTAATTTTAATACGTCAAACAGTATTGTTGACTTGTCGAAATATGGTATTGACAAGTCTAAACACTGCCTTATTTTCTCAGATTGCCATGCAACTAGTATTTTATCCAAACTTAATGTTAACCGGCCAAAACACCGTCTTATTATGTGAAATAATGGTGGAATCTTTACAAATTATGGTTATGAACTGTTAAAACGCTATTTAAATTTGTCAAACTGTCATGCTATTGTGTCCAAATGCAGATTCAACTTGTCTATATTCGTCTTATTATGTCAAATAGTCATATCATCTTGTCGAAACGTGGTGATGACTTGTCTAAAATTGCTTTTTTGTCAAAGAGTCTTTTTTTATTTTGTCAAGGTTCGGTGTTAATTTTACTAAACATCGTCCTTTTATGGCGAAGTATCATTTTTCATGTTTACTTGTTGAAACACAGTATTATTATGTAATACAGTGGCGTTGACTTGCCAGTTTATGACGTTAACATGTCTAAATACCGTTTCATTATGTCAGATAATCGTGTTGTCCTGTCCAGATGCGAATTTGTCAAACTTTAGTATCACGTGTCCAGAGCCCGCGCGGAGCGTGAAAAGATAGAGCAAAAAAGATTACGGGCCAGTTGAGCAAAACCAGACAGCGCTTTCTCAAGACAGAACTAAATTTGAACAAATTTAAACAACTATTAGACATAATAGGACTGTTTCTGAGTTTAACAAGAAAACATCAAATTTTGACAATATAACACTTCTGTTTCACATTATAGGAAAGAGTTTAGACAAGTCATTACCACATTTCAACAAGATTCCGCAATTTTTTGACTTTATAAGGCTGAGTTTTAACCAGTCAAAACTGCTTTTTGACAAAATAGCATACAGTTTATCATAATAAGGCATGATTTAGCCCAGTCAACACCCCATTTCGGCAAGATAATTCGAATATTTGATATAACAAGACAATTCAGCAGTGTACGTTGGAAAATTAACACAGTTGTTTGACACAATAAGACAATGTTAAGGCATTTAAACACCGTATTTTGACAAAATAACATGGCAGCTTGATAAAATAAAGCTGTGCTTTTACAAGTCAACACCAAATTTCGACAAGAGAACACTACTGTTTCAAATGATCAGACAGTCTTTTGACAAAACAGCTCCACAATTTGACCGCATAGCGCGACTAGTTGACATAATATGACACATTTCAGACAAGCCAAAACAACATTTTGACATGATAACCCTACTGTTTGAAATAATTAAACAATGTTAACACACATCAACATCACATTTTAAAGAGATAAGACTACTGTTACGCATACTAAGGCAATGTTTAGACAAGTCGACAAATTACAATGACATTACAACGCTTTTATTTGACATAATAAGACGCTTTCTGGGCAAGATAAAAAGAAATGTAATAACATGAGGCAGCTATGGCGTTCCATACCTTTCCGTGAACGAATACTATAGGGAGGCAATCCGGAAGAGTTTCAGAGAATACTCATTCGGAACTGCCTCGGCTATCATCTATATTATCCTTATCCGAAGACTGACGGAAAGGGCCGAGTAGTTGCGATTGAGAGAATACTATGAAAAGTATTTTAAAACTTTATCAACAGTTATATAAGAAAACCATTTTTGTTTAAAACAGTTTATAACTCTTTGAAAATCCATATTCATCGAACAAACTTTTAACATGATATGTCCAATTTTTGTACTATTCAAATAACACTATTGTGCAAACAGAAATACATTTGTTTAGTTATAATCACCATTTCAAAACCACAAAATGTTACAAATACAAAATCAATACAGAGTATGGTCTGTTACTTGGATACCACAGATTTACTGACCTCACTTTCAGGAATGAAACAATCGGCTATTCTTTTAGTTTTCAATTAAAAGAAATAATGAAAACCTTTAAAAAGCTTTTAGTGCTTACTTAGTGCAAACAAATACTGGCCATTGAAAAAAAAATCAATTAGCCTCAATACCTTAAATACAGGTAGCCACTAGTAGGGTTCATAATTAGAAAGTCATTATCGTCATCTGCATATCACAATCATTAGTACCATGATAGAAATTAGTTTGCATATCTCGGGTAGAAATTAAAAAATTGTGAATTGAAATTAATCCTTACAGAAGGCAAAAAACAATATTCATAATGGGATTAATCTGTAAAAATTTATTATTTTTTCTCACAATTTGCATTATGCCAAACATCGGGTATATACACTGTACATCTATAAATGATACAAAAAGTTTACTTCGTGATTTATTGGATGGATATAATAAAAATGTACGGCCAGTTGAAAACCAAACCGAGGCCGTTCATGTAAACGTAAGATTTAGTTTGGACTCTATTCAGGGCCTTGATGAGATTCGTGGTATATTTTCAGCAATGGGCATTATGTACATGGTATGGCATGATACAAGTATGGTGTGGGATCCAGAACATTACGGTGGTATAGACTATGTAATGACGTCATACAAAGAGGTATGGGTTCCTGAGTTGATTCTCATCAACCCGGCAGATGAATCAGACACTCTTGGTAAGAAATGGCAGAGGGTTTTCTTTAGACATACAGGACGCGCTTAAATGGTAATATGCTCAAAGGAAAATATATTAGTCTATCAAATAATCATTTAACATATGTCATATATTATGTCTACTTTAACTCAATATTATAGAAAAATACATGATACCTGAAAGCAGATATATATCAAACTAACACAATTAAAGAAGCATTGCCTCCAGATCAGATTCATTTTAATTTTGATGAAAGCTTTGAAGTATGAAGTGAACAACGAAAGTTATTTACACATTGCAAACGGCATACTATACAATCCACATAAATAAACGAAAAGAAGTATAAAAAATGCACTAGTAGCGTTTACTGCGTTTGTCACGCATAAGAAATATTTAAAAGCAGTCACTAATCGCACATAAAATGTAATTTGTTACTTGCGTCTTGAATCTTTTTACTTTTCCTAAAATTTTGGTACATTTTCTCAAGTTTTATTTTCTTGAAATATTTGGCTCTTCTGAACATACAAATGAGGATCTGACTCAAAATTAATGTCAAATAACCTTATAACTTTATGAATAAATTGGAAATAATAAAATATTTCACATAAAGTGGTGCAGTTTTCACTTTGGGCAAAAATGCACAAGTCATTTTAGGTGAAATGTCCAAATAAGGATTGACTGAATGTTGAAATAGTAACTTCCCTGTCGAATTGATAGATTCAGTTGCCGCAAAAGAAATTATATATGTAGTTTACATTATAATGTCAATGTTATGTTCTAAGCTTAGTTATGTTGTATAAATGGTTTACAAATATTACAATGTAGAAATTCTGATTTTGAAATGCCACAATTTATGACTTGATATCGATATTTGATTTAACAAACATAGTTAACACCAGTAAACATTGAAATATTACTTAATATATATTTACTTATACATCGTTTGTAATAAATGTTTTTGTATTTGTATGTAAAAGCTCATTTGCATGTACCAATAAGGAGCTAGGATACGATTATTTATTGAAATTGCTTTTTAGAACAAGAATAAAATTTAAATACTTACTTCTGTTTATTACTTAAAATGTTTACAATTGAAAAGGTAATGAAACAACTGGTTGTCATCACACAGCTTGCATTATCGTGTTTAAATAATTCGTATGCCCTAAAGTCGCAGGAAGTTGCTCTACATAACACAGTTCTCATATGGCACAGTACTTATAATATGCGGTTTAAAAAAAATAATTTCAAAATACATTGTGGGTACAACATTATTCAAGATCCGTATAATCTGGTATGAAGTCTTACATTCATCAACAATTTTCTTGAACTGGCACGTTTAATTATAGAAAATATTAATGACGACGATGCTATGGATACGTTTATTTCAAGATCTTCTATGACAAGTTCATACAAACGAGCTTTTACTCATACAAAATGTTATCCAGATAGGGAGGGGCCTGAGGGATTGATGGGTCGAGAAAGGACATCATAGAAGGTGAAAATGAATGAGCACACACACACACACCGAACACGCACACACGCGCACATACACACACACACAAACACACACATTATTTTTACTTGTGAACCATACGCCGTTTTCATGGAAAGACACTAACGTTTCACAATGAAGGTTCCATGATAACAGCCGTATAAACACATCTACATTTCATGTTAAATGTTCAATACTGCTTAAGCCGGTGCTAGGGGCGTGGACGGTAACTTGAAACTTCCACTATGAACAGGTTCAATCAAACCGAGCCTGCAACATTTTCAATTTTGTCGTTCTGTGCCTTCTTTAGGGTTTCTTTATTTCTCTCTATTTTTGCGCTCTTCCGAAAAGAAAGACTCCATTGGATAAAAAAGGAAATGTGACGCCATCATTACATATGACTTCAAGATTTAATACTAATTAAACTGTTAAAATGTATGGTTAGGGCATAAATATCTTAAGATATACAAAGGGGGTTTGACTAGTGATGGCTTCATACAACATTTCATTAATTTAAAATGAATTATAATTGATGCAATGATTATTGATATAAGTGCATGAAAGCTTGTTACAAATACAGCAAGTTAGATGGACCAACAACCTATTTGCAAGTCGCCAAATGTTAAGCTCATGGATTTATTAAGTATTGAATATACTCGTAAGATCATTAAGATAGGGCGACGTTCTCGGAACGCTGCTCCGACATCATCCAGTCACACAAGACCATCATGGTATCCATGCTTGTAAGAATAGTGTGGTGTTTCTTGTGCATGTATTTACGGTTTATTAAACCATATGGAGTTCCATAGAATAAGTAATATGGACACCATTCTCTAGAGAACACTAGATCTATATAACATTTGTGTTTTATTTTGTTGAAAATAATATCATGTTAAGATATAAAAGTTAAGTATAGATTACATTGAGCCATGCAAAACAAATATACATTTATCACTTTGTAGAGACTACAGATGATACAAAAATCAAACAATTGATAAATATTAACGATGATAATACCACATAGATTTCTATTTTCATTTATGATGAATGGAAGTTTTTTTAATGCTTAATTGCTGATGTTGTCTAGAACTGAATTATCTATTGAAAAGTAATGAAAACGTGGTTAAAACATTAATGTTAAGCTCAACAGCCATGAAACACAAGTTGAACAAAACCCTTCTCAACATTCAGTCGTAGATCACATTAATGTTTGCACACTATCACTGGCACAGAGGAGTGATGCATCACGTAATCACTCACACTTCCAAGAATCGTACGTCTGATAGTACCCATACCACGTGACCCGGTTATAATTACATCAGCGTTCATGTCTTCTGCTGTTTTCACGATAACTTCTCCAGGTCTTCCCGTTGTCGCCTTTACCTTACCCTTGGCCTAAACAAAAATAAATATATCGTTTATGTTATATTACAACACAAACTAGTTTGTAAAAGCGAATAAAAAAAATGAAAAGTGAACGCCCGTTCATAACATTAAACAAGAATGTCAATGACAACAAGATTTTTCATAGGACGAACCAACACAGAACTTTAGGATCATATGACAACTTGCCAGCCTTAAAGGTGGAGGATATATGAGATTAAAGATCGACAAGAGAGAATGACTTTCACGGAACGCAGTAGCCTGCCAACTTCCAAAACATCAAGAAACCAAATGAAACAAAAAAGAGAAGGCACCAAAGCAAACTAAATGATTCCCCGTTAATATCTTACATGTTTATCTTTGAGCAAAGAGGTAAGTTTTTCAATATAGTCTTTAGTCATCTGTTCTTCCTCAGCATATAAATTCGTCAATGTCGAAAAGGCCGAAATCTCCAGCGCTGAAATATTAACATTTACAACAGGGTTACAGGTCTTTGTTTAATTTGGACATTGCATGTCACTTTTTCCTTTTCACCGAGCTTGTAACATTTTCTTTGTCGTAAATATAATATTTTTACCGTTATACTAATACAGAGACAAGACAAAGGTTAAATTTTTTCGAGCTTGCTTGCTTGCTTTTCAAAATAAAATAGCAAATGTCGCCCATCACACTAAATTATGATGCTTTGACAATGTCTCTACCTGTTTTCGCAAAGTATCTTTATGTAACATCGGATAATATTCTTAACTCTTATTCATTGATAGATTAACAAAAGATCAGACAATCATTTCCTTATTTTTCAGCGAGAGAGATTATTATCTCCGAATTTACCATTTCACTGAATATTTGCTTTAAATAGACTATACATATGTATTATTATTCTTCTTATACTCACGGGATAAAACGACAGTGTGGTATTCAGGAACATAGACCAATATGACTTTGTCCGATTCCCTTCTCAGGTTTTCCCAGTACCCTGAAAGGAAACATTAAATACTAGTATATGCAACAAATTTTTTACTATCAGCTGATTTTATTCTGTGTTAACTTTAACTTTTTTGTTTGTGACGAAACTTAAATGATAAATGTCAGCGTCTTAGCAAAATATTAATAACACTAGTTCATGCAGATTACATGTAGGTTTACCTAATCTAATGTCATTCTTAATTAAAACCTATCATATGTGTCCTTATTTTCTGGAAAATTCTTTCATTTATCATTAATCTTATTTGAGTAAACTTTAAAAGTAACAGCTAACGAATTGCTTGATCTGTTTTCACTCCTAGAAGAACCTTCCTAGAAGAGGGTTGATCAGTTGCTGTTCTTTCATGGTTGTTATATATTCTAGTTAAATTTAGCTAGTGGGAAAAAAGAATGAAAATAATTATAATTATACTAAAAGTACTAAAAGCTTCAAATGTCGGGAAACACGACTCAACTTAAAATGTTGCAGAGTCGGTTTGTCCGAGTAGATCTAAATAAAAAAAAATCTGCTTTCGTAATAAAGAGAGCTGAATACAGTTCAGAAATTTTGAAACATCTACAGATCTGTTCATACCGCGTTGATCTTGAAAAAAAATGCAACTTTTGAATTTTGCTTGGACATTAAAGTGTATGCAAATATATTAATAAAAAGATTCCCCTTAAACCACTTTTTAACTTGATACTGACTTTGACCATTAGTTTTTGTATTTAAGGTACTAGTTAAATCCGTTGTATGACCAAATACCAGATATTAAACGATTCATTGTTAGTTTTGAGCTATATGTTGATGATTTACTCTCTGATCATAGGTACCGCTTAAAAAAGATCTTATTTATTAATTTGAAATTATATTTGAAAAATATTAGGATTTGTGCCTTTTGTTTAAGAGCAAAATAATGACAGGGGTAAAATTAAATTCGAATATTGTTTAGATATCAAAATAAATGTTACAATATTTGCAAAATTACCGCGAACACTTTACTTAAATGCATGAATCTTTAAAAGAAAATCTATTGTAAAGCATTTACTTCAGAGACATAAAGGTATAAAAGTACTCACAGTCAAACGCTTTTTGAGAAAACTCACTGCCATCCATTCCTATAATAACTGTTCTACTTTCAACAGCGTTCTCTGCCATCTTCACTTTTGTAAATAACAATTATAGTTGTTATATACACTATCACGTTTCATGAAGATTAATGCACATATATTAAATAAGCCATCATGTGGAAAGACTTTACTTATTGTTTAAGTTAGATAAACAACGTGATGTAGTAAACAACAGACTTAAGTTATGTAAGTTATGAAAAGGTAAAAAGTTCACACAAATGTAAAGTTTTAAAAAGAAGTGAGGATAATATGCTTCTAAACAGAAACACGCATTTTCTTCATAAAATAAGATATACTCGTATTACATATGATAAAAAATATTGATAGCATACTTTACATTTTGTATTTGCGTGACTTGACAAATAGGATCAAATGAAAGGAGAGAAAAAAGAAGATGCTGGTGTGTGTTTTTGATTTTGTTGTTGTTCTTGTTGTTGTTGATTATTTCTTTTTAAATATTTCATTTTTTAATTCTTCTTTAAATTAAAGGCAAATTATGCCTCAAAAATGCTTCTTCTTTATTTTTCAGAAGTTTCTTTTTTTAATTTTGTTGTACTTTTACAGTATTATTATGCGCTAATTTTGTAGTTCTACTGAAGGTGGATTGAATCTCAACACAATGTTCCGTTTTATATTTTAATGTTAATCTTTCTTAGTGGAATACCACAAATAATATATAACATATACACAGGTTATCCTTATGTTAACAAATAGATATTAAAAAAAACAGTAACAAATATTTCTAGTGGAGAGCCACAACGTTATTAATTGGAAATCCAAAATCTAACTGTTCGATTTCTCTATCTTTACAATATTTCTAAAAATGGTTTCGTTTTAAACTGACCAATAAAATTTTAACATTTTTGTGTCTTAAATAACAAAATGACCAATCAGGTTTCAATACAAAATAAGGTAACATAGCAACATAGAATTTATAACAACAATCATCACCTGGATATTTTATCAGTCATAAGGTTTAAAAACTTATTAAGTACAGACAGCTTATTTGACTTTATCACCTTTATATAATAAAACTTTTAGCACAGTTGATTGGACAAAGAGGAAAAGCCATATTTAATCTTCCGGTTACATAATTATAAATTTGACATCTATTGTAAAAACATATAGTACCTGTAACTTAACATATTTGAAATTTCACACATAGTTTTGAAAATATGACCTTTAAGAAAATGATTATATTTATAAATATTTGTGTTTAAAAGGAAATCATCATGCATATTTATTCGTTTTTTTTTTTTTGCAAAAGAATTTTATCATTTTTCGGCCGCACAACAGTATCCAAAAAGTTATTCTTTGATCCATTACATGAACCATTTTTTCATATGTTGCTTTTTGGCAATAATTTCAGTTAAAGTGAATTAGTGTTTTGTATGGAAATCAAAATAAAGATCTTGCATGACCATCTTCTTAACAATGTATCATTTCGTCCCTGTATCATCATTAATTTATACATTGTTCTACGCACTGTTGGAAAAGGAAATACACCACATTCACCATATAATGCAGTATAGCATGTTTTTTGTTTAATATCATGTATTTCTTTAAGAAATTTTTATGTATGGAGACTTACAGAAATCTTTTCCGCAACATAACTTAGGTAATACATTAGAATTAAAAAGTTTCAATTTATCCTTCATAAGGTTTGGGCAGATCATGATTAACTTTTCCATTGCAGGATAGAGTTACATTTAATATAAGAAGATAAATGTTTTAACATGTTTTGAAAAAACTGCATTCTCGTACTTAACTGTTACATTTAGGGGTTTTGTGAAATACAGAGCAAGATTCAGGATAATCATGCATTCTAACAATATCTCGCATTATATTTGTGCAAGTGGTTAATGATTTCTTAAATCTTCAATAATATGTAGCATGTACCGTGTGTTAATGTAACGTTTTATTTAACGCAAGTGATCATACAGATTTGTCTCCTTGGATACTAACGCAAGCGTTTCTTGAACATTTTGGCTTTCTGTTCCTCAAATGTCTTTTTCTGCTAAAGACTCTTCCCCAAACAAGAAATTGACGACTCATACACACAATATTGTGATTTCTTAGGACAATACAGCTTATAAACATCCATATAACACTTAGGATACTTTTGCAAAACAATTAGTAAATTTTCACACTGACATTATGTAAAACCTACAATCCTTTGCAAAACAATTAATACAGTATCACACTGGCGTTGTGTATTTTAAGCTACAATAGATTCATTTAAATATATTAAATATGTTTTGAATAGATTTATGTCTCATGGGTATCAATTGTTTTAAAAAATGTCATTTAGATAATGGGGAGAATAAATTTTACATCTTCAAGCCTTTGAAGTTAAGTTTACATAAAATCTGGAAAAAAACTATGGTTAATGGTAAAGTAAAATGCATATAATTATAAACATCATTGTGGAACATTACGACATTAGAAAAATATGCTTTTCTGACATAATATACAAAACGAACATCCGAGTATCAGTATGTCATATCCGACAATATTATCAAATTGTTCTAATTTTATTTATCTATATCTTCAAGTTCTCACTCGAGCCATTTCTTTGGTCACACAAAAAGATTTCCAATTCTACACATTGGTCCCCCACTCGTACACAGTGACTAAGTTACGCTACATGTTCTAACAATCTAGCTAGACAAATGAGCCGTGTCACGACAAAACCAACAAAATGGGTTTGCGACCAGCCTGGATCCAGACCAGCCTGCGCTTTCCGCGCAGTCTGATCACAGGATCCAAGCTGTTTGCTTACAAACCCTATAACAAGTAGAGAAACTTATAGCGAACAGCATGGATCCTGATCAGACTGCGCGGATGAGCAGACTGGATTGGATCCATGCTTGTCGCAAACCCATTATGTTGGTTTTGTAATGGCGCGGCTCAAATACTTTGCGCGAGTTTGATGAATAGAAAAGAATTTCATTAAACATGCACCAAGATGTGTTTTGTATGTTTTATATAACAGGTAAATTGCCTACTTGATAAACATTTTGGGACCTTTTTTTGAATTCATTCATTGGCATCGAATTATATTGTCTAATGGTCCAGATATAATGTTTTTACTCAACAGTTAATATGCTAGCTTACATAACAATTCACGAATTGACAAAGAAACTCCCCGAAGATCAAGCAATCTCAGGTCAATATTGCAAGATTTGTTTACTTAAAAATATCGTTGGTATCTGCGTTTTATTTAAACAATGATATGCGCACCACTTACCTTAATTGATATTGATATGCGGGGTATTGAAAACCCCGAGAAAATTGTATTGAATATTAACAACAAAAAACGTATGTAAAGCTATAAAAATTTACGTTTCATCTAATAAAGCGTAAGGTTTACTTTGAAACAGAACTAGTAAGGTAGTGTTTAGCTTTTGATTTCTTGCCTGCATGCGCGGGTGCTTGCTTGGGTGCGTGTTTGATACGTGCGTTACAAATTCGGTTGTGATTTGTTTCTGTTGATTTTACATGATTGTTTTTTTTTTCGGTTAAAATCTTTTGATTCAACCTAGGGGACCGAAATCATATGCATCGGTGCTTTAAGCGAGAAAAATCTGTAGTCTTTGACGGCAATTTACTCGTAAATATTCATGAGTTTGATTTAAATGTCAACAGGTATGTGGATTTTCTTGGATTATTTTTTGTATAATGTTTTTTACCTCTAGCCATATTCGTTTACTATCTGTAGCTTATAAAACAGACCATGAAATGTGTTGTAAGATATTGAAGGGCTGCCAATGACAGTTTACTGTTCCACGTTTTGGTTGTGTGTGTGTGTTTTTTCTGTTGTTTTTTTTATTTTTTCCAATCTACAGCAGTTTGTCTCCGTTTTTAAAGTTTCACAAACCATTTTGCGTCATTGAAACGATAATGTTAGGAGACAGGCACACAATTATACA